CACACCCTTTGGTATCCAGGAGCTAGATAGATAGCTTTTACTGACTCCTTGCCTTGCAGCTCTTCTGGCCTTCATGATGACCCCCGTGGTGCAGGCTTACAGTATGCTGCTGAGGCTGTGGCGGCATGTATACTGAGGACTGCAGTCTCCAGAGCTGACAGGCTCTCACCAACAGATTTGGGTTGGAAAAAAAAGAAAATAAAAACCGTGTAATAATATTTTCTAAACCCCGAAGTATGTACTAGTCTCCTCTGCACGTTCTGAGCTGCAGCTTACTGCTGGGCCATTTAATTCTACCCCTCCCAGGGCTATAATATGGACCAGCAGGATGATCAATAGAAGTAAGGGTACTGGACAGCACTGGGCTAGTGGTGACTTTTAATCAGTCAAAATCTGCATTCCTGACTCAGCCAAAACACCCATTTCATATATTTCATAGACATTCAGGCTGGAAGGGACCTCGCAAGATCATCAGCTCCAGCCCCCTGCCCAAGGGGCAGGAAGTCAGCTGGGGTCAAAGGATCCCAGCAAGATAGGCATCCAAATGTTTCTTGAGAGTGTCCAGAGGAGGTCAATAAAGGTCAGTGAGTTGGGATTGCAGGACATTCAGACCGAGCTAGACAAAGCCTTGGCTGGGGTGATCTAGTTGGGGATGGTCCTGCTTTGAGCAGGGGGGTTGGACCAGATGTCCTCTTGAGGTCCCTTCAAACCCTAATTTCTAATACTCTATGGGCCCATACTCATGATAAGCATTGCTATTTCTTAGCATTCCATTAGTAAACTGTGCTGCACAGTTCTGCAGCACACAAATTGAGTTACTGGGGTTTTTTTAAAGCCATGTAAAGAAAATTTAGAAATTTAAAGCCATGTAAAGAAAATACAGCTGATTCCCCCCTAAGGTAAGTGGGGTAGAGAGCGCAGCACAGCTGAGGCGGATCCGGAGGGGAAGCCCTTCGGTGACGCCTTAGCTCGCCCGGCAGGGAGCCGCGCTCCCGAGCCGCGCGCGGGCAGCGCGCGCGAACAGTGCGCGCAAACAGGCGCGCTCTGTAAGAGCGCGCCGGCGTTTGCGCCGGCGTTCGCGCAAGGCGGGCGTGAGGGAGCTGCACAGGGCAGCTCCTCCAGGGAGTAGGCAGCGGGCGCACCTCTGCAGTCATGGTGATGCAGACGCGGAGCGCAGCTGCCAGGGACCCTGCCCGGGGGCTGCCACCTACCATGGGCTCTTCTGAGGCCTCCACCCAGACGGAGCTCATGGTGGAGTCGGTGGCCCCTTGCCCCCCTGTCTGCGGAGGGGGCTTGGCGGGGCCCTGGGCGGGGGTGGGGCCTGGTGGTCTCCCGGCCTGCCCCTCCTGTGCACGCCTTAGTGCCCTGGAGGAGCCGGCGG